CAATGGGTAGCAGGAGAATTGCAGAATGGTTCGGGTTGGACAGGACTTTGAGATTGTTTACTTCCAGTCCCCAGCTATGGGCAGGGCCACTTTTCACCAGACCAGGTGTCTAGAGGTGAATAAGCAAGCAAAGTAATTTTTCCACTAGGTACATTGCACAGAGGATTGTGAAAGGTGCAGATGAGTAAGAAAAACTTTTGGGAAACAGATGCAGAAAAGATATTTAAACATTAAATAAGTGAAAGGCAAGGGCAAACACAAGTAGAAAGATTTAGGGTGTGATTCATGGTTGACAGGATTTCACGTTAGTCGTGAAGAGGTTGACTTCATTTGTATAAATCAGAAATGTTAGCCGCTGAAGGCAACATTCCTTCTATGAAGGAGGAAAGGAAGAAGTAACAATATAGTAGAGATCATTCCTTACAAAGGTGTAGGCTTACTAATAAAAGAAAAAAAGAACTTTAAAGTATTTCTTCCCACATCTAGAATATTTTAAAGTGTTGTTTTTAATGGGATACAGCAATATACTCATCAGTATATTACTGATTATATGTTCACCTCTTCACAGGGTTATCTAACAACGGATTTCCAAAATCCATCACTGAATAGGAGACAATATATACAGACTTGAAGTCTGTTGACCATGTTTATCCAAGACTTTGTTCAATCAAATAACATTAATTTTTGAGAGGCTCAGGGGCTCTGAAAATCTGCAGCATCCATCACCCCTCAATTTCACTTCTGGTAAAAAAAAAAAAAAAAATCACAATCAGTTGGGAGCCAACTTTAATTAGCATTACTTTGAAATATGGGAAAGAATGACTACACTCAAAAACGCACTCTCTCTAGCCTAGCCATATTTCACACCACTTACAAATACTGCTATCACTTGCACAGCTAAATAACAGGGTATTTTTACAGAACGTGTCTAACTCCAACACTACTGAGGCAATTAGTGTTAAGATATATCACAGATTAGAACATCCATTTGTTCTGGCAAGTAACAGTAACTGCCTTACCTCTGAAAAACCAAGTGAACTGGGAAGATGCTTTGTTTCATAAAGCTCCAGAAAATGAAGAATGCCCTCCTTTGTCAATGTTTTATTCTCACTCTCAAACATTCGTTTATAAATGCACATGTGCCATGATGGGTGAAACAACCAACAACCTGTTACAAAAGCAATTTTTTCTAAACCAACACAGAAATGACACTGACGCATTAACATACTAAGCAAAACATAGTCCAAAAGGACCACTGAGTTGGGATTTCTGATTGAAAAAAGTATTTCAAGATAATATAGTAAGTAGTAAGTATATGCTAGGACTTCTGCCTGGCGCAGTGGCACTGCCCATGCATGTCTGCCAAGCAACCTATGCATGTAGAAGGCCCACTAAAACTGGAACAGCCACCAGCTAATTTGAGAAACAAAACATAACGAAAAATTGCTATTTAAAACAGCAGAATTAAAAAAAAAAAAAAAAAAGAAGTGTGATTTAACTGCTTAATATTTAGGAGATGGTTCAGAAAATATTGCATCTTACCTCCTTCCCCTGATACAGCGTGCTCAAACAAACTGTTTAGTTTTGGTAATACTGGCTTTATGACATGAATCTGAAATGCAAATCAGATGTAATATAAGTAGTCAGTTTATATCTCAAGTTTAGTAACTGGCACTTACTCATGGGCTAGAATTTACTATCAACTGTATTAATATAGTAATTGACAATGTAACTGCATTTAAATAGACTTACAGTGCCTATGCAACTGATCCTTGCACTCGGTATATAACAATCGTAGTTTAGCACTGAAGAAAAACTGGTACTTCCATGCTACTCTATCATAAGAATGCTTCCCAATAACCAATCATTCTATTCATCAAAATTATAATAAAGCAGCATTAATCTCTAAAATAAAACATTTTAGTAAATACTAGTTCTCTCAGTTACAGGACAATTATGTACAAATAAAATAACTACAAAGCCACACAAGCAGTAGTCAGCAACACAACACTATTCAATTACGGAAGCTTCAAGTCAACAGGAATCTTTCTGCCAAGTACCCTGGACACTCAAACTGAGAATCGCTTTCACTCAAGGCCACAAATGCTTTACCATACAGATGTAGTCCCCTCTACTAAAAAAAGGTCATAAAGTGCAACAGCCTGATTTCACTAAGGAACAGGTTACCCATGGTCTTGCAATAAGTTATGGTGAAGATTTTTCCTTCTTCAATTCAAAGATAGAAGACAGCTCTGAACTTATACTAAATGAATTACAAGCACTGTGTTTTAAATATTTAAAATTCGAAATAAGAATATTTCTGTTAATGCTTATTTAGATACCCTCAATCACCCAAAGTGGAAGTGGTTTGAGCAATAAAACATTTACAGCCACTGTTGCAGAAGGCATCACATGTAACCAGGATAAGAGAAGGCTGCATGGAGACCTCATAGCAGCCTTCCAGTATCTGAAGGGGGCCTACAAGGACGCTGGAAAGGGACTCTTCACTAAGGACTGTAGTGATAGGACAAGGGGTAATGGGTTAAAACTTAAACAGGGGAAGTTTAGATTGGATATAAGGAAGGAGTTCTTTACTGTGAGGGTGGTGAGGCACTGGAATGGGTTGCCCAGGGAAGTTGTGAATGCTCCATCCCTGGCGGTGCTCAAGGCCAGGTTGGACAGAGCCTTGGGTGACATGGTTTAGTGTGAAGTGTCCCTGCCCATGGCAGGGGGGTTGGAACTAGATGACCTTAAGGTCCTTTCCAACCCTAACTATTCTATGATTCTGTTCTATGATACTAGAAGCCTCGATTTTACATCGCTCCTACCTGGTTTCCCTCCAAAGTTTCCATTACCAAAATGTAAGTTTCCCAAAACTGTAGGAGTTTCTCATTCTCCTCAGCAGACCACCAAAACAGACTTGAGTCTAACAAAAGAAAACAAAGAACGAACAAGGTTACCCCTGCCACGCAGCCCGGGTCCATCCGCACCCCTCTCCCCCCTCCCCTCCCGCCCGTACCGTCTCCGCCGTCCGCGGGGCAGCGCAGCTCGGCGCGCTCACCGCCGCTGAGGTCCAGGGCCCGCTTCAGCAGGTACCGGGCCCGCTTCCGGCACAGCCCGTCCCGCTCGGTCAGACCCTCCTGCACCACCCGCCAGAACTGCGGGCACAGCCGCGCGTCCGGCCCCGGCCCCGGCCGGCCCCGGGGCAGCAGCGCATCGGCCAGAGCGCTCAGGGCCAGCAGTGCCCGCCCGGCCCGTGGAGTGCCGCCGGCGCCCAGCAGGCCCTCCCAGACGTAGCGCAGGGCCGCGCCGTTGCCGCCAAGAGCCGGCAGCAGCCGCCCGGCCACCAGCGCCGGGATCGCTTCTCCTTCACCCTCCTCCCGCACCAGCGCCAGCGCCGCCGCCACGCACCGCGCCACCAGCGCCGGCTCCTCCAGGCGCGGCGCCGCCGCCACCAGCGCCTCCACCGCTGCCTCCGCGCCCGCCCCGCCGCCCACCGCCAGCTCAGACAGGGCGTCGCAGGCCAGCCGCGCCGCCAGCGGCGCCCCGCACAGCTGCACGCAGTGCCGCAGCGCGCCCCGCGCCGCCCGCGCCACCCGCAGCCGCTCCCCGCATCCCGCCGCCGCTTCCCCGCCGCACAGCAGCGGCCGGCACCGCTCCAGCGCCACCTCCCAGGCTGCCCGCCGCAGCGCCTCGGCCTCCCCCGCCTGCGGCTCGACCGCGGCCAGGCGCTGGAGCAGGAGGCGCAGCGCCTCCGCGCGCTCGGCGCAGAGCGGCGCGCAGACGGCCCGCAGCAGCGCGCAGGGGTCCCCGCAGCGCGCCAGCAGCGCGTCGGCCAGCACCACCTCCATCCTGCGGGGGGAGCGGGAGAGCCGCTCCGCGCCTGCGCAGGTCGCGGCGGGGCGGGCGGGACCGGGCTCCCTGAGGGGCGGTGGGAGGTGCGGCGGGAGGCTCAGGCGTGGTTCCGTGGCCCGCTGGGGTGTGCGGGGTAGGTGCGTGCTGTAGAAGGTGCGTGAGCTTCGCGGATGTTGCACGAGCGCAGGGAAGGGAGCGCCTGGAATTGTCTGTTCGGATTGCGTGGTGCTGTGCCTCCTGTCAGGGATACCCGTGCACGGCTGGGTGCGTTCGTGTGGATGTGTCCAGCCGTCGGGGCCGCTAAGCAAAGCCCGACCCACCTTGTGCTCCCATGGGCCAAGCACGGGAAGGATTAACAGAGACATCCTAGGTGTTGGCACCGTGTTTGAGGGGGTGAAGGTTCTTCATTGTGTGCCTTAGAAACTCTATGCTTCATGCGTTTCATAACAATATCAAGCAGCAGTAACACGCAAAATGCTCTGTTTTCCCATCAGTTTTGCTTGTTATGGCCATTTATGCCAATATAAGTTGAAACCCATCTAACACTCTCATCACACCACACCAGAGGTTTTCCTGGGTGTTGGCTCAACGCTGTTGGCTTATTATGAGGACCCAGGCCACTGGCACTGGGGCCAGAGAACAACTCCCAAGCTGTTTAATGTCATGGTGCAGCCAAAATGTAACCAGGAAAAGCAAACTGATTTTCGGTACATGTAAATTCAGTACGCAAGATTACAGTTCCTGTGAAAAATAGTTAGAGATCGGCGCATGAAAAACGCTGGGAAACTCTCTGAGAAGAAAAGACGCAGACCTGTTGGAGAGGGTACAGGGGAGGGCCACAAAAGCGATCTGAGGGCTGGAGCACCTCTCCTATGAAGACAGGCTGAGATAGCTGGGGTTGTTCAGCCTGGAGAAGACTCCATGAAGACCTTATTGGAGCCTTTCAGTACTTAAGAGGCCTATAAGAAAGATGGGGAGAGACTTTTTAGCAGGACCAGTTGTGATAGGATGAGGGGTGATGGTTTTAAACTAAAAGAGGGGAGATTCAGGCTGGACATAAGGAAGAGATTGTTTACAATGAGGGTGGTAAAAATTCTGGAGCAGGTTGCCCAGAGGTGGTGGGTACCCCATCCATGGAGACATTTAAGGCCAGGCTGGATGTGGTTCTGGGCAACCTGATCTAGATGGAGTTGTTCCTGTTTGTTGCAGGAGGGTTGGACCAGATCACTTTGAAGGTCCCTTTCAAACCAAACTATTCTATGATTCTAAGACGAAGTCATAGGAAAACACAGACCTGGAACCTTCTGTTCCTATGAAAGCAATGGACAAATTTGGTGTAGATTCTCACCTGATCACCTTCCAAACCACATGAGTAGAGTTGCTTCTTCTCCTGGCTATCCAGTTTCCCCAAACTTTTTTAGGAGTTTCTTATCTTTGAAAGTCTCCTGATTGCAAAATGGCTGAAGCTTCTCATTGGAACTGGACCTCTAGTGTGGCTATAAACCCACTAGCTAAAACGGTTTCCTTACCACTCTGCGTGTGTTCAGTTACATATAAAAACAGAATCTAGAAAAAGCTCAAGAAAACAGTGCAAAGTGATACATTTATTTAAACATAAAGTAAACCCTAGTACACACACAAAAACATTTTTCAGATGAGGAATGGGTATAATGTGTGTTATTAACTAGGATGCTTACAGTTGAAATCTCATGCCATAATACATTTTGTTTGCTTTTCCATTTGCTCTGGTGTCTTTAGTAATTATTCCACTTCTTACTTACAGCATGCAGTCTGATGATTTGTGGGTGTTTCTTTCATCAGGCTTGAAAACATGCCAAGCAGGGTATCCCTTCTTCATTACAGTATTGCTCTCCCTTCCAGGCACCTGTAAGATTTAACTAAATGAAGCATTAAAGGTCTGCACAACAAGCAGTAATCAAATCAGAATAAAATACTAGGTGCTGTGCTGCTTCTCCGTTATTGCCTGGATTCTCTCTTGCCTTTATTTTTATCACAGTGGGGCGTCAAGTCTAAAGTCTTATTACATCAAGTTAAAGATAGCATTTAAATTCAAACTGTTTCACTGCAGATCGTCTTGTCAGACAAAAAGAAGAAGGTGAGAAATTAAGCCAGTGGGAGACCAGGCTGGGGAGCTTCTGCCTGGATTGTGGTGCAGAAAGATAAACACACAAACAAAACCCCAAAAGGTGGGCATGGAAGTAAGAGAAAAGGAACAACGAGCAGCATTTTGTAATTTTCAAATGGCAGGAGCCACAGCATTCCCACCCTCCTGCCGTACTCGTTAAGTGTCCTAATGCTAGGACCCTAAATTTATGCTTTCCAGCTCTGCACTTCCAACACATGTCCCTACCTCACCAAAGACCATGTCCCATTCTGTTTTCTTTGGAGTCTTCATGTGCCATTTAATATCATTACTGAGCCTATGGGAGGCAGGAAAGATATGAGAAATGGTTATTATTGTTAGTTCTTATCTGAACTTTGTAACAGCACCTTTTATGATGATTTGGGCTTCCAGCACATAACTAGCTGACCAAGTTGGGTCTGGTTGTACAACTCAGATATTTAATGATAATTGGTTTTCATCAGGACCCATAATGCTACACCGATTTAGCAACACAAGAGGACTGAGGTTCCTTCCTCACACCCCCAGTTAAAAAAATCAGTGCCTTAGCTAACTGCATACGCTTTTAGGCAAACGTACACTTGTTCTGGTGTAAATGTTTTCCCCTGTGATCACATAAACTGTCAATTCTGTCCTAGGAGAAACCCATGGATGATCATTTCAGTGGTTGGTTGTAGTGGAAAAGGATAATGGACAAAACTACAGTATAAACTACAGACAATTAGTTACAAGGCTTGGAAATGCCCACTTACGATGTTGGAAGTATGTGTCATGCTGTTGTCATAAAGCCACTGCTGAGGTACTGGGGCGCCACATTAGATTATAGAGTCCAGGCCAAGTGTCTGTCTTTAAATTGTGTTGATGGTGGTTTTGGATTGCACAAAATACCTTTCCTCTCATCAAAACTCTTATAGTGCCATACTACTACCTGCATATTTACAGGTAATTCTGCGCAGTTAATAAGGAGCGTGATTTTCTTTCCTTGCCGGTGTTCGTGGGAGCGTGTCTGCACCATGTAAAATCTCTAGAGGCGCTGGGTACATAACACAGCCTCCTCTCCCACTGTGTGCAGAAGTAGATGGGAGACTTCTGAAAAGAGTCATGCAGGAGATTTCCCACCACATCCTTGTCCCACAATAAAATGGGAAAATTAAATGAAAAGCATAGATGTGCTCTGTACAATAAACCTTACTGATAGTTAGGTATATTCATGTCCTCTCCTAGATTTCCTCAGTGCTGTTGGGCAAAAAAAACCAGCAGTGCACATAGCTTGTATGTGATTCTCACTTCAAGGTAGCACCTGCAGTTAGAAGCATAGATGAGAGAAGGAGACCGGATGCTATGGTAAATGTTCATACCCAACTATAAGATATATGTATCATCTAGGTTGTCCTGGTTTCAGCTGGGATAGAGTTAATTTTCTTCTGAGTAGTGGGTACCGTGTTGTATTTTGGATTTAATCTGAGAATAATGGTGCTAACACACCAGTGATTTAGTTGTTGTTAAGTAGTGCTTACTCTAAGTCAAGAACTCAGTTTCCCACGCCCTGCCCATGAGGAGGTGCACAAGGAGCTGGGAGGGAGCACAGCAAGAATACCTGACTCAAACTAGCTAAAGGCATATTCCATACCATGGAACATCATGCTCGGTGTATAAACTCCATTGTGAAAGATGAGCAAACCCTGTATCTTGCAAATTCTGTCTGTAGAATTGTCACCAAAACAGGCCCATTCCTGTCTACCCACATGCTTACAATTATTGTCTGGGCTGTCCCTGTCCCACATCCCCTTCCTTGGCTTAACAAAAGCAATCTTACCCTAATTAGATCTGTTACTTAGCCTGCTGTTTTGACCTTGCCACCTCTTCCTTTATGTCCCTCTGCTGTCTCCCTCTTCTGTGCTACATCAAACACATGCTGCTGCTTTTTCCTTTCCCTTTCCATACCCATTAGTCTATCCTTCCCCATGCTGTTATCTAATACCAAGACACTGATTTCCACACCAGCCTACCCATGCTGCCAATCTTAATTGTCCATACATTAGACTTTCAATTAGGACTTCATTCTTCATGCTTTTTCTTGTGCTCCCACCTCATTTTCCTTTTTTATATCCCAAACTTCCCTTTGTTGCCACACTGATGCAAATTATAGGCAGCACGTGGTCTATGACCTCCTGTGGTCTATGGCCTTCTGTATGAACTGATAAGCTGATCCCCTGCCCATACATATCTTGCCATCAATTTGGGCTGCGTATTTTCTGCTGGTGACAATCAGTGCAGTGATATTGGTAGAGAGTAAGGATAACGTTAATTGTGGTAAATAAATAAATAAACAAGTAAGACTGGAAATTGGCAATGTGTAAAGCCAAAGGGGAGGAAAGCAAAAATAGCCTCAGTTTTGTCACTGAGCTTTTATGAGGAGGAGAGGTAAAAGATAAAATTAAAGGTGGCTCACAGAGATAAATGCTATGAGAGCTAATGTTTTTGTAGACTTTCATGTACCCATAATTCCCCACATACATTCAGACTTTTTCAGACATTGAAACTCATGAAGAGTTAGTTTAGATCCGCCTCTACCTCCAAATTTTCAAACCAGAGCCATCTCATAGTGAAGACTTCATAACCTCTGCAGAACAGAAGATGGTGCTGTTGTCACTGACATGTGCTTTCCGATATTTTTCTGATTTCAAAAAAAGCAAGTGGTAATGGAGAAAAAGAGAAGATAGGAAAGTAAACCGAAAGCTATTCAAGGAAAGGTAACTGCCATTTCCTGTATTTTTTAACCGGATAAATTTAGGATCTTAAAAGTATGATGAATGCACAGAAAACCAAACGACTATGTAAATGAGAGACCAGATCTGGAGGTTTCAAGAGGTGTTAATACAGAGGGAGGTGTAAAAGCAATTAGAAGAAGCAGAGAGGCAGCACAGACCTTATGCTGGATGTACTCTTCCCATTTCCCTGAAGGTACTACAAATGAAGCTTTGCTGAATAATGTCAGTTCTCCTTTGACTCTGTAAGGAGCTGTTACTGATCATCATCATTACTTGGGAAGATCAGGCTCAGTATGTCTCAAGCCAGGCATTTGCAAACAGAGACTTCAAAAACCATTGAGAATTTTCAAAAAAAAAAAAACCCAAAACTTTTAATAATTAAGTGAGAATGGAGGAAGAACGAAATCCTGCAGGCAATGAGAAACTGTGACTGCAGAATGGGCCAGTCATGGACTGCATGCTTTTAGCATTATCAGGGAAGTACTACAGGCTTCCTTTCTCTATCTGCACAGGAAAAAGGAGCACAGGAAAGAAACAGTAGGGTATCTTTAGGACAGTACTGTTAATGTTGTGCTGTGAGATTACCCACATCTGCATCAGAGATTCCAGCCTGAAATTCTTCTTTGACTGAGCAGGACAGCAACATTCACCAGAGACACTCTGATATTCCTGGGCTTTTTAGGATGTTTGCTTTATAAGTGAAGCTAGAGTTCTACTGCTCTAACACTGTAAACATCCGTCGTTCAGAAGCAGCATTTAAAGGCAGCTGACAAAAAGCAGTTGTGTCCAATTAAACATTCCTAATGATGGGAAGTTGCAAATCTATACTATGCAGTTTGTCACTGTGCGCTGTAGAGGGGAAGTTAAGCTGGTAAATCTCTAGTTAGACTGAGTGCAGTGGAATGGTCAGGAAAAGATAAATTAGGAAAAAGAATTAGATATAATCCTTTGCCATCTGTCTTTGTTTTGCTAACCTACTTGACAGGACACTGCTGAAATCTGGAGTCATTTTTTATCTGCTTCATGTAGCTGAAAAGCATTTGCTGTACAGGCTGGAATTAAAATGCTTTCCATTTGTTGACCCCATTTGCTTTCCTTTAAAAAAATAAAAAATAGGACTTTCCATACAGCCATAAGCCTGTACCATTCATTTTTGACCTCTCCCCCTTGCTAGGACTCAGAGCCTGGTGGTAAAGCTTAGATAGATTATACCATTGGCTCTGCCGGAAGCAAAGGGGCTGTTGAAATGTACATAATCCTTGATTCTCCAGTGTTCAGCTTGAAAAACATATGTAGATCTGGAAGAAATGTGACAATTAAGAGAATGTCCATATGGTATCACGGTTTCTCCGTAACAGCTTTTATCTATAGGTCTTCATCTAGCAAATCATGTAAACACAAGCTTATCCCTAAGTACATGCCTGAGTATTTTGCTGCCTCTGGATTTTAGTGTACAGGGGATTCTACTGATAATGAACCAGATAAGAGGATCTACTGTAGTGGGGAAAATACTCTGTAGCTTCTGCATGAAAATTTACCAGCTGCAACCCTGGCAGCCTTTAGTCTTTTAAAAGTCCTGGTGTTCTTACTGAAAGTAATACTACAGGAAGGTGGATAAAAAAAAATCCCAAATTGTAACCAAAACAAACCACAAGGACCAATCCAAGTCTTACTTACTTCCATGGGAATAATGCAAAATGCCACTTTATTTTGGGGAGGGAGGAAAGAAGGAAGAGAGGGCAGGCATTAGGGAGGAAGCTTTCACTTAATTTCCAACCATAGGTATTTTTCTTTGCCAATGTGAAGGTTTTCAACTCTGTCTTTTCAGAATGCAGGGTATGAAGAACTTGGTAGCTCCTCGGTTTCAGAGAACAGCATAGGTGAGTAGCTTCTCAGGAATGAGCTGAAGTTAATCTGTTGTCCATTCCTAAAGGGACATAAAGATAGTCCACTAGGTACAGAGAACTTATCTTTGATTTTCAGATGACTGGAGGAATTGGTTAGGCACTGATTGAGAGCAAGGTTACTTCCTCAGTGGGAACTCAGGATGTGAAAGGCCCAGAGCACTGCTGCCTTCCATCTCTCAGTCTTTTACATCAACATAAAGCAAGGGAAAACAGTTTTAAATATTCTCCTTCATCTTCCATAGTACTGTGGGTTATGCCAGTTTAACTAACCTCACAAGGAAAAAAGCAGAAGTCAGTTGTGCCAAGATGTAGTTTTCACATTTTGACTTGTGCATTTGACTTCAAAGAACTTCCAAGTTTATTTTGGATTTCCCATACTAAAAATAAAGACACAGAACAACTCATCAATTTAGCTGAGAGCAGCAGCTTTGAAAGCATTAGGCAAGAAGAAGCTCTAGTGTTTTGAAAACAGCTCCTAATGCTGTTGTCTTTAATAGGGATGGCTAATATTCCCTGTTTTCTCATATTCCCAGTGATTCTTTCCAAGTGGAAGCGTGCCAGTTATTCTGCAAAACTCCTGACTCATTCCGATATCATTTAAGGCCTTCTTAATTGGTTGCAGGATATCTTCAGTCAGAGGAGGGCTCTTGTTTGGTGCTGCGAAAGATTTTCCAAGGGGTTACAATCTCTTCAGGTTTTGTAGTGTACTTTAAAGACAGTGAGATCAAAGGAGAACCCCCCAGATCAGCTCATTTTTAGAAATGCCTCACTTTTACAATTTCATTGTGAAGACAGCTGGTGGATTTTTTAAAATATTAAGTAATTAATTAGTTCATTTACCTTGGCCTTGCAGGTCTGCCTTGGGTTCTTTTCCTGCTGCCCCTACAGGAATAGCAAAAAAGAGGCATTTATCATATTGTCACAGCATTTCTTTTTTGCTTTGCTCCCTAAATCTCAGTCTTGTAAAAAATAATAATAGTAGTCTTTTACACATTTATGAGGTCTGCC